TTTAAGGTTAAAAATAAAGGGGGTAACACCTCTGGTACCTATCACACATCCTAATCATTGATTATTACAAGACGAGAGACAAACATCTCTATCTCTCATCTCACGAAACGCGTCAAGGAGCTCAATGCCCCACATCCAGACTCTCCAACTCTAGGCAAGTGGATGGTCTGTGTATTTTACAATGCTGCCTCGTTAGCTTCACCTGACTGATCCTTTCTTCAACTCCCAGGAGACGAGCAAACAAGCAGGGCGATAACCAGATAACCGTTCCATATTCACGATAACAACAATGCCTACATATCACACAAAAATTACCGAACATATTTTTGGCTGGAGGTATGATATCACCGGCACAGTTTATCCGACAATTTAAAAAAAATCGTGTAATTATATAGTTAACAGCACAGTGGTATTTTATTCAACTAGACCTATAATGAACCAGTCAGCCTACTGCAATGCTCAGTAGGTCTACTGCAGTTTTTTTTTGGAGGCCTACTGTCTCTTAAAAGAACATTTCAGATTCCAGCCACCTCTTGTCTGCTTGATCCCTACATACACGCGCACGCAGACGCCCACACACACACACACACACACACAGAGTGTGTGTGTCCCGTGTCCCAGATCCCGTGTCAGAGTGGTTGACAAATGGAATGCATTAGGGGGTGATGTGGTGGAGGCTGACTCCATACACAGTTTCAAGTGGAAGATATGACAGAGGCGGGCCCGATAGGCTCAGGAATAGAGCCTGTACTGTACACCTGTTGATTGACGGTTGAGAGGCAGGACCAAAGAGCCATAGCTCAACCCCAGCAAACACAACTAGGTGACAACTAGGTGAGTACACACACACATACATACACACACACACACACACACACACACACACAACACACACACACACACACACACGCACGCACACGCATACGCATACGAGTGGTTGCCCAATTCAAAACTTTGTATACCACATATGTCAGGCCAATCCTGGAGTATGCAGCCCCAGCATGGAGTCCATATCTAGTCAAGGATAAGACTAAACTGGAAAAGGTTCAAAGATTTGCCATCAGACTAGTACCCGAGCTGAGAGGTATGAGCTACGAGGAGAGACTACGGGAATTAAACCTCACTTCGCTGGAAGACAGAAGAGTTAGGAGGGACTTGATCACCACATTCAAGATTCTCAAGGGAATTGATAGGGTAGATAAAGACAGGCTATTTAACACAAGGGGCACACGCACAAGAGGACACAGGTGGAAACTGAGCACCCAAATGAGCCACAGAGATATTAGAAAGAACTTTTTTAGTGTCAGAGTGGTTGACAAATGGAATGCATTAGGAAGTGATGTGGTGGAGGCTGACTCCATACACAGTTTCAAGTGTAGATATGATAGAGCCCAATAGGCTCAGGAATCTGTACACCTGTTGATTGACGGTTGAGAGGCGGGACCAAAGAGCCAGAGCTCAACCCCCGCAAGCACAACTAGGTGAGTACACAAGTGTGTGTAGATATGATAGAGCCCAATAGGCTCAGGAACCTGTACACCTGTTGATTGACGGTTGAGAGGCGGGACCAAAGAGCCAGAGCTCAATCCCCGCAAGCACATTTAGGTGAGTACACATTCTTGTGTAAGGAATCTTTCAGAACATTATATACCACATATGTCAGACCAATCCTGGAGTATGCGGCTCCAGCATGGAGTCCATATCTAGTCAAGCATATGCAGGCGATGAGTCACAATGACGTGGCTAAAGTATGTTGACCAGACCACACACTCGAAGGTGAAGGGACGACGACGTTTCGGTCCGTCCTGGACCATTCTCAAGGGTATTGTTGAGAATGGTCCAGGATGGACCGAAACGTCGTCGTCCCTTCACCTTCTAGTGGGTGGGTCTGGTCACATAGTCAAGGATAAGACTAAACTGGAAAAGGTTCAAAGATTTGCCATCAGACTAGTACCCGAGCTGAGAGGTATGAGCTACGAGGATAGACTACGGGAATTAAACCTCACTTCACTGGAAGACAGAATAGTTAGAGAGGGACATGATCACCACATTCAAGATTCTCAAAGGGAATTGATACGGTAGATAAAGACAGGCTATTTAACACAAGGGGCACACGCACAAGGGGACACAGGTGGAAAATGAGCACCCAAATGAGCCACAGAGATATTAGAAAGAACTTTTTTAGTGTCAGAGTAGTTGACAAATGGAATGCATTAGGAAGTGATGTGGTGGAGGCTGACTCCATACACAGCTTCAAGTGTAGATATGATAGAGCCCAGTAGGCTCAGGAATCTGTACATCAATACAATACAATACAATTTTTTAGGTAAGGTACATACATACAATAAATATTTACAAGGATTGTTTGACTTATAGGTAGAGCTAGTACATACAATGCCTAAAGCCACTATTACGCAAAGCGTTTCGGGCACATTAGTTGATTGACAGTTGAAAGGCGGGACCAAAGAGCCAGAGCTCAACCCCCGCAAGCAAAATTAGGTGAGTACAATTAGGTGAGTACACACACACACACACACACACACACACACACACACACACACACACACACACACACACACACACACACACACACACACACACACACACACACACACACACACACACACACACACACACACACACACACACACACACACACACACACACACACAGATAACCCTTATCTTTTCCAACCTTCTGAAGCCGACTAACGTGAAAGAACAATTCTCCAGGGTCTCCCCTGAAGCTTTGTTGGTTAAGAAAATGGAAGTGTTAAAAAAGGCCCACACCGGGGGCCCTCTGATGGCCCACACCGGGGGTCTCTGATGGCCCACACCGGGCGCCTCTGATGGTCCACACCGGGGGCCTCTGATGGCCCACACCGGGGGCCTCTGATGGCCCACACCGGGGGCCTCTGATGGCCCACACCGGGGGCCTCTGATGGCCCACACCGGGGGCCTCTGATGGCCCACACCGGGGCCCTCTGATGGCCCACACCGGGGGTCTCAGATGGCCCACACCGGGCGCCACTGATGGTCCACACCGGGGGCCTCTGATGGCCCACACCGGGGGTCTCTGATGGCCCACACCGGGGGCCTCTGATGGCCCACACCGGGGGTCTCTGATGGCCCACACCGGGGGCCTCTGATGGCCCACACCTGGGGTCTCTGATAGCCCACACCGGGGGCCTCTGATGACCCACACAGGGGCCTCTGATGGCCCATACCTTGGGTCTCTGATGGCCCACACCAGGGGGCCTCTGATGACCCACACCGGGAGCCACTGATGGCCCACACCGGGGGTCACTGATGGCCCACACCGGGGCCCTCTGATGGCCCACACCGGGGCCCTCTGATGGTCCACACCGGGGGCCACTGATGGCCCACACCGAGGCCCTCTGATGGCCCACACCGGGGCCCTCTGATGGCCCACACCGGGGGCCACTGATGGCCCACACCGGGGCCCTCTGATGGCCCACACCGGGGACCACTGATGGCCCACACCGGGGGCCTCTGATGGCCATGCCAAGCCCAAGAACTGATTTCCATTTTGATGAGAGCAGGATGATTCAGGAAGACCTTCATACGATATCAATTTCGAGCGAGATATCTCGTTACCTTTCGGTTCCATTTTCTGAAAAGTTTTATTTTTCTCCTCCGTTAAGTTTCATTTTATGAAGATCTTAACCCGCTTGTGGAATCAGGAGGTTTATACACGCACAATACAGTACTGGTTGGCAATTTATTAAAAATACAGCTGATGGTCTATTGGAGAATACAGTGCTAATCCAGAATGGATTTATATCTATCCTTGGAAAGGATAAGAGAGCAGGGAGGAGAGATACGGGTAAGAAATGATGAAATGCTTCCCAACTACTATATAGGACCATCGGGGATCGATCGCCGACCTTGCAGGATAGGAGGCTATCTCTGTGCCAAGCAATGCAAGTAGCCGAGTTTAGAGTGTAAACCCGAGGCGGCAAATCTATGGCACACGTGTCAATTTTGGCACATGAGGAAATTTTTCTAGCATGTGGCAAGCAGTGTCGCCCATTCATACTTTTAACTCCTACACATAATAGATCAATATATATTTATGAACTCATATGTCTGAGCCCACAATTACTGCGAATTATTACCAGTTAGGGCACAGGAGTTTTTTTATTATTGCCAATTTGGGCACAAAGCTCATTTTTTAGAATATTTTGGCCAATCTGGCCACATGATTTAATCTTTAAAAAAAATTATTGCCAATTTGGCACATGGTCTCAAATAACGTTCGCGGCCTCTGGAATCTAGACTCTAGACTCCTGGAGGAAAAACTCCATTAATGACTGACAAATGTCAAGAGCTTTCAGGGGCCATGGGACCAGGATTTAAAAAATTGTTGTAGGGTATTCATAATTTATTATCCTGATACATGTGAAAGGTGCTGCACCTAGGCCAAGTTTCAGCATCTCAGCCTAAATAGAGACGGAGAAAAAAAAAAAAAAAAAAAAAAAAAGACGAATTTTTCAACCATGTTCAATTGATTTCACAGCCCACAATTGTGAACCAAAATCATTTATACGACACTCACCTATGACCTTACTATATAATAAAGATTTGCATGTCACATTATTATCCCAGATGTATTCAGTGCAATAATACAGATTTTATAAAAGTTTCCCAAAAACATATGCAACAAAATGAGGTGTATCATTATTTATAAAATCAATAAATCTACGTAGATAAGAATAATGACATGCGTTTATAGAGGCGTAAACTCTACATATAATGTGCAAGTTTCATGTAAATAGAATAATAAATAAAGGCTGTGAAATTTTATCTAGTTGTAAAAGTTGGAGTTGCGTAGCGCGCTCTCAAAGTTTACTCAACCTGCGGTCACTCGTGACTGGTGATTTACGCATTGCGGCCAGCTCGTATGGAGAGCTCGCATGCATCTAGCTGTCAATGCTTTTCTCTTGTTCGTTTGGTAAGTCATATTGCAGTACAAATAGCTAAAAATAGCAAAAATAGCATGTTCTGGGAGATATTGTGTGAGCGCGTCAGCATACATCCTCTCTCCATGAGAGACACGCAGTCACTGACTGCACCACCCTCGTGTCAGACAATAGAGTGTTGCCATTTGTGTGAGTTTATATTCATTTTCTGCATAACATGTTATTTTCAACGCTATTACGAAAAATAAGACATCTACAACGTAAGATACAATACCCCGCTGCGTACTCACGGTGCGAGGACCAGATTCACGAAAGTTGCAGCGGGAAATTTGACTCTAATTACGTTATTTTTCAAGATATCATTAAACGGTTTGGACCACAGTGTTGCCAGAACGTTGTAGTATTTTTCGTAATTTTTCGTAAATATTCCATTTTTCATCGTATTTTCGGGTCCCATGGGCCCTTCATTGTAAAATTGACATATGATATCATGGCAGAACTCGAGGTTGACGAGCCTCGGAGACTAACACAAGTCCTTGTGTTCACTATACCGAAGTGAACCAACATTACGAAAAAAAAACCTCCTTACGTCAATAAACTTCATTACTGTTAACTACTTTAAATCAGGAAACTAATTCTATTTGGTATGCATAATTACGAAGTTTGTTGCTGAAGAATAACATAAGAAGTTCTATTGCTAGTTGTTGTTCCCAGTTCCTAATGTTTTTTTTTAAATACATAATTTTTTTGGCTTACAATTCCTCTGGGAGAGGAGATATGATCACCATGTACAAAATCCTTGAAATAAATAAACAAGGTGGACAGTTTCGATGAGTTGAGAGGAAAATAGGACAAGAGGATATCCTTAGGAGCTTGAAACACAAAATAAGAAGTGACCCTTGCGTTGTGAACGTGGAGTAGAAGACAGCACTGAAGGAAGGAATCCCACCGGCCGTCTCCATTCTCAGTTTGAGGAGCAAAAAAAACATTAAAACTCTAATGAACAAAGCACAGGTGCCTGGAACAAGGAAGCTCATACATGTAATAAGAAAGTTGGGCATAAAACAAGAATAAAGCTTAGCATAAAACATAAAGCAAAATACCTGGAGACCGAACAAGAAAATTGAGAGATAAAACAAGAAAGAGAGGCATAAAACAAAGAACCGGGGCATAAAACAAGAAATAAAGGCAAGAAATAATGATCCGTGGCATGAAACAAGGAACTGGAACATAAAACATGGAATTAGGGCATAATTCAAGAAATTAGGGCATAAAACAAAAAATGAGGCATAAAACAAGGGGGCTCGACATAATACCAGTGATGAAATATGCCTCTCTTCACAATTATACTGACAAACATAGAATTTTAGCACTTTCTCCATTGGATCAATCTTAACCAAATGTAACAATTAAAGCATTTGCCAACATCAACAAAACATTCAAACATCAACAAAACATTTCTCAAACATAAAATAATCATTCCCCCAACATCAATAAATCATTTAAACATCAATAAATCAACAAAATATTCGTCAAACATCAAAAAATCATTCTCCAAAAGCCAAAAGTCATTCCCCCCAACTTCAACATATCATTCCCCCATGTTCTGACCGAAATGGATATGACTAAAATTAGGTCGTCTCAGAAAATATGAGGCAGCAGAAGTATATATTTCCCATAATTGCTTTCGTTGCCTCATGCTGTGAAAAAGAGCCTATTTTATTCATATCCATTTGGGTCACAGCTCACTAACATCAACAAAACATTCCAGCAACATCATCAAAACATTTCAGCAATATCATCAAAACATTCAAGCAACATACTCAAAACATTCAAGCAACATCATCAAAACCTTTCCACAACATCAACAAAACAATCCAGCAAAATCAACAAAACATTCTAGAAACATCAACAAAACATTCCAGCAACATCAACAAAACATTCCAGCAACGGCATTAAAAACATTCAAGCAACATAATCAAAACATTCGAGCAATGTCATCAAAACCTTTCCACAACATCATCAAAACCTTTCCACAACATCAACAAAACATTCCCGCAACATCAACAAAACATTCCCGCAACATCAACAAAACATTCTCACAACATAAAAAAATTCCCGTAACATCAACAAAAAAACCCAAAAAGCTAACTTACCATGGAATTCGGATCAATGGATCCAAAGCTTCTAATGTAGAGTTCGCACATAACATTCGTGGCGTTGTCTGAAATGAAGAGACGCTCATGTTAGTCCTATGTACAACAACAGTCCGGGAGAGACGCTTTTTAATCCTATGTACACCACCAGTAAGGGAAACACGCTTGTTAATCCTGCGTTTAACACCACAAAGGGAGATACACATTTTCTTAATCCTATGTACAGCACCACTAAGACACCCCTTGTTAATCCTTTCCACAACACCAGTAAGGGATATACTTTTTGTTTGTTTTGTTTTTAGATTCAGCTACTCGGAACAAAAAGTTCCAAGTAGCACGGGCTATGGTGAGCCCGTCGTACTTACCTGGCACAGGAGATGCCCAATGGAAAGACTTTTGTAACTCCTATGGATACCATCAGTAAGGAAGAGAGCTCCTTCCTAATCCTATATAAAACATCAGTAAACAGACTAATGACGGTAAATGTAGTCCAAATATATAAGAATGAAAACAGACAGGAGGCACGGAATTACACACCACTGTCCCTAACTTGCATACCATGCAAGCTGATGGAGAAGATTGTGCGAAAAAAGTAGAACATTTGGAGCGAAAAAACTCTGAAACACATCATCGGCATTGGTTCAGGGAAAGCAAACTGTACCTCACAGGATTAATTAAATTCTACGACCAGAAAAAAAAAATCAGGCAAGAAAGTGAAGAGTGGGCAGATTGCATATTTTTAGATTGCCTGAAAGCCTTTGACATAGTACCCCAACAAAAGATTAGTGCACAATCTAGAGATGCAGGCAGGAGTAAAAGGAAAGTTATTCCATTGGATAAGGAAGTAACAAAGCATCGGAAGTCAGCGAGTCACTGTGAGGGGTGAGGCCTCGGAGTTGCGAGGTGTTATCAATGGAGTCCCACAGGGTTCAGTCCTTGGACCAATCCCTGTTTCTGATGCATGTAAATGATCTCTCAGAGGGTATAGACACGTTCCATTCAATGCTTATTGTTAATGCAAAACTTATGAGGAGGATCAACACTGAGAAAGATAGCAAGAAACTACAAGATGACCTAGACAAACTATAGAAATTGTCCAACATATGGCTACTAAAGTTCAACCCAAGTAAATGTAATGATTCACAGATCATTAGAAAAAACTCTGACAGTGTCAAAGTAGTTAATTAGAAAATAGAATGCACAAGGCAGTGATTTGGTGGAGGCAGACTCCACACACAGTTTCAAATGTAGATATGATAGAGCCCAGTAGGCTCAGGAACCTGTATACCAGTTCATTAACAGTTAAGAGAAGGTAAATGCTTAAATGTGTGTGTGTGTGTGTGTGTGTGTGTGTGTGTGTGTGTGTGTGTGTGTGTGTGTGTGTGTGTGTGTCCGAGTGTGAAGATGTAGGAGACATGTCAACAACCGACCAATAAAAATGGGGCTTAGGAGCTGACGTCCAACCGAGCAAGCAACCCCCACACAAGTGAGGATACACACCACGTTAAATTCTTAAACGTAAAAAAAAATTA